TTTATTTTAATTTGCACGGTATCATTCATGTTTGTAGGACAACTAAGAATCGAGCTCCAGTTACTCTGAGGGTTTTAAATTAGTCCCGTTGATTCAAAAATTTCAACATGATTTACTTAAGTACAAATTAGACTCATCTGGTGCGCAGCCGCGGCGTCACTAGTGAGTCTTTCCAAAATGGTTATCCGCTCATGGCGTTTCATAAATGAGATCAAGGCCTTGGGATCTGAAATGATCGCATGATTATGTGGTAGATTTTTATCCAATAGCAGAACAATTCGTACATGCCAATATATCAATTATAGACTTCCCATTGGTCACAATTTCCTGCAAACCCCGGGTGATATCCGCACCACGACAACGAGGGTACTTAAGCATAGCCAGCTCCTAAGACGACAGGTTAACGTTGCCCAGTCGCATCGCCAAAGATGAAATTTTTGCAAAATTAACTAAGGTGCCTTACTTTTTGAGGGGATAAGATGCGTCTATCTACTCGTTCTTACTTGGCAGGCTGGCCCGGACTTGCCAATCAGTCGATGGTAAAAATGTGTTGGTCGGAATGCTGCTAGTGTCCTTACACTCCCAAACAATGCTCCCGAAAGATTTATCTCAACTCAAACATTTATTCGATCGTATTCCTATTCATCCCTGGCACAGCCGTGATCCTAATTGTCATGACCTAAGAGCTAGGCCAAACAATTTATTGCACATCATCTAGCAGCCGCTTGTGGACATAATCCGCCTTTAGTAATCGCATAAGCCTCAATGTGCCCATGAAAGCAGTGCTTGCGTAATAGACGCAGCATTCGCGCGAATTCAATCCTTATCACTTCTTAATAAGCTATGCGCAGTAAAATGCAGCTTGGAGGTATGTAGTAAATATGCTCCACCAACTTCCCGATAAAATATGCATCTATGGGAGCATTGCAAATCCCTCTATATCATTGAAGTAATGGTTACGCGAGATGACTATTCCCAGCCTGCCCAACCCGCTGTTCGGAAAATAGTGAAGCATGCCCAGCGATAATCGCAATCATTAAGAGTGCGATGAAGTCTCAAGGCACACCCAGCTTCACTAGCAAGCCAAAACGATATCAAAAAGCAAATTATGTACGTATATTGGCCGTGGTTACTGAGCAGATATTTGAGGACAAGTGCACGACCCAAGCCGCGCAGGCATCGGAGATAAAAACCAGATTTCGGACAAAATATCACAGAAGGGGAAGGCTGATTCGGACACCCCTACTACAAGACGAGTAGCCAAATAAGAACCCTAAATGACCTAAATGGGCAACTCAGCTAATGAGCTGCGACTGCTTCGAGACTGGTGTACTAAGCACCATAACAAGTAATCGGGGAAAACAAAAAAAATGGAAATGAAGTTGCCAACTAAGAACGAAACCAGTACGTTCTGGACTAGGCCAGCGGAGAAACTTGCTAATTACAAACCCACCGCACCTGGAGCACCAAGTATTGAGTGCATCAGTAGAGCAAATCCATCGCAGCACCACCGAAATCAAACCCAATTGACACAATACTCCGCACCTGAATGATATATGACAAATGCGGAAGACTAACTGCAGCAGGAAATAGAGGCCATTTTTAAACCCAACTATGACTAAAGCCACACCAGCCAAGTAGATCCGTAAGAGATGTGATGTGGAGATAAATTTATGCCAGTGACGAAATTGAACATATGTAGAAAAAGGCGCTAACAGTTGTTAAGGGAGAGCCGAAATAATGAAAGTAGGGACAATTTTAGACTAACTAAACAAATAAATGTAAGTCCTAACGGACAGGGCATTATGAAGGCTTGCTAATATACTGCAATCCAGCATTAAAAAAGTACTAAATACAGTCACAGGCTGTAAATAATGCGAAACTATGGAGCTAAAAGGGATAGATACAAAGGTAGATTAATGTGAATGGGGCGATTTTGAGGGCATATGAACTAAATTAGATATGGGAAAGGTGGATCTGAGCCATTTATTCCCAAAAGCCCATCTGAAGAATGTATACAAATGAATGCTTCCGTTAAACGATTTATTAAAAATCAGCCCAGTTTTATTTTCAGCTCCCTTGCTTTTGCCTTTTCTAATCTGTTGAGACGAGCAGTTGATTTGTTGCCCATGATACCACCGCCCCAGTGTCGTCGAATCTTTAGAACATGGCATGACTAAATTAGAATAAATTACCTCTTCGAAGCGATCATTATAATTGGACTTGACAGTTTCGATTATTTTGCCCAGCTTTGATATATCCTTCCTAAAGAAAGTTTATATAAGGAAATATAACATACTCTTTGACACCCTTAAATGCAACGCACGTGCATGTTTTTCTCCTGACAAGAATGCCAAGGCGAGCCTTACCCTTCACAATTGCATATGGTATATTCATTTTCCTACACAATGCAGGAAGGAAGAGGACTATCTCGACGGGCTCAACATCGTGTGCTATCAGGACGAGACGAGCCTTCTTTTGTTGAATGGCACTCGTAACCTCACGAATGCCATGGATTAACCTTTTAGGTTTGGGCTGTTCAATATCAGGTTTTTTTTCTATCCGCTTACTGGCACGAATTTTCAACTGTGCCTTGCGGGCTTGCTTACTTATAGGCCGGTAATCCTCTGCAAGACGGAATACCTGGTGAGCTAGCCTATTAAACAAAGATGAGACAGTGTACCTGAAGACCGATCCAAAGTTTGACGGAACTGATTAATAGGAGGCGGGATTTTAAGGCGACGTTTGAGAGTTGTACGCCTGCGTTGTACCTCGACGTACTTAGGCCATTTGACGAAACGATACAGATCACGTTTAGGCTGGACACATTGTCCAATCCCGAAATTCTTAGGGCGGCTCTGTATAAGGGGGTTCCTCAAAACGACTTTCTTTGTCACTGAAGTCCTTGCTACTTCAGGTAACGGAGCTATCTTCGCAGTTTTTCCTCGGCCCTTAACAACATCCGGAATGTTCGGGGCATCATCTTTAATATATTTAATATTTTTTGCAACGATAATTTTCTTCTGCTTGATCGGCTAGAAAACGTGTAAAAGGAGAGGACGTTACCATGTTGGCGCGGGTAGACGAGGGCTGTACCCGGTTCAAACAATATATATATATAATATATTAACTAATAACACATTTAAAAGTAATAATAATAAATTAAATATAAAAAGCTATTATTGTTTATGTTATGACAACGGCTGGACGCTTAGTAAAGCGGGTGGTTTGCCTAATATTTAGTTGTCGCACCTGACCCAACCTATTTATATTATTTTAAACCTAGCTAGTTAAATGTCTAAAAATTCACTCAATAGCTTAAAATATAACCCATATGATCTGGTCAAAGAGGTATTATTTGATTAAATGTATATGTGTAGTTTTTGCAATATCATCAAATGAATAAGACTCTAGCTTGCTTTATGAAAGAGCTCTCACCAAATCATAAGGCTGGATCAAAAAATTTAAAGGTTTCAAATTTATTTTTAACATTTTATTTGAATTATCTATTCTGTTATTTATTTTATATTGGCTATGTATAAATATATATAAATTGATGACGGTAATTTTTAACTTATATGTAAATTTATTAATGCATAATTGAATATCTGATATATTTTACTTATTAGTTACGAATTGATATTTTACAATGGTATAGGGCGTTAAAAAAATATCTTATAGTATTTGCCTATTCCTATTTATTTTTAACAATATGACTTTAGATTTTAATTTGCATATTTTTAGATTTTTTTGTTTTTAAAACTGCCTTGCAACATATAATGGCAGTCAAATTTTATTTTCCATCATACATTAATGATTGGCTGCGCGCATTCTCTTATTACATTTTATTATTTTTCCATAAATAAAACTAGTCCAACAAAACTCTTTAGGCTTATTGAATCATTAGTCTTTATGTTTGAAAAATCTAAACTTTGGGTTTTTATATTACTTTACATTGTAGATCTGACTTTAAAGATATTTTCGCTGCTTGTTGTAGCCTATCTCGTTCCAGTTACCAGTACCTCATCTGGATCATGTTGATGCCTCAAATAGGCCTCAATATCTAAGCACTTATGCTACGAAGCAAATGTTCATTAAGTTTTTCCCTATTATCCGAATGATACTCTGTTATAGAGGCCATGTGACCTATATGGTAGCATAGACCCATTAATATGTACATCCAAACCGATTTTGAATTACCCATGTTTTTTT